AATATTTAATTATAAAAAAATATAGCAGTGGCTGGAAAATGTTTTTTTTTTTTTTTTGAGACAGAGTCTCACTTTGTTGCCCAGGCTAGAGTGAGTGCCGTGGCGTCAGCCTGGCTCACAGCAACCTCAATCTCCGGGGCTCAGCGATCCTACTGCCTCAGCCTCCCGAGTAGCTGGGACTACAGGCATGCGCCACCATGCCCGGCTAATTTTTTGTATATATATATTTTTTAGTTGGTCAATTAATTTCTTTCTATTTTTGGTAGAGATGGGGTCTCACTCAGGCTGGTTTCGAACTCCTGACCTTGAGCGATCCGCCTGCCTCGGCCTCCCAAAGTGCTAGGATTACAGGCGTGAGCCACCGTGCCCGGCCTGGAAAATGTTTTTACTATAATAATGGTTAAGAAGCTGTGTGAGAATGTTTGCCCAGTATTTAAGGCTAGCTCATTTTGTCTTAATCCATTATATCTAGGTTTTTAGATTCATGGTTAGGGCTCCATTATCACAAGTGTGTCTGCAGTCCAGCTTTTATGTCACACAGTCTAGCATTTTATACTGTTTAGAATCCATTATTCTATTCTGATACTCTTCCTGTGTCCTCATACTCTTCTCCTTCAGGAAACCTTTGCTGAACCCCAGACTTTAATAAAATACCCTTAGTTCTGCTTCCCCTGAATGTCTGTGATAAATAATTCTGTGTTGTTACGATTACTTTGCTTTTCTAAAATCCTCTATACTTGAGTATATGTCCTCTGAAGGCAAATAACTATAGTGTCTTTCATCTCCATAATCCTTCAGTCAATTAATGAATCAATAAGAATAAATGTATTCTGCCTAATTGTGTTTCCCTATACCATTGAAAAGTGAGTGGTTTTTAGGAATATATTGCAAATATTGTCACTATTAGGGAGAGGAATGGATTTATACAAAATTACTGGTAATACAAGCCCATATTAAATTTTATTCCAAGACTTTAAATTTAGTGCTAATAATAAAAGTACAGGTTGAGTATCCCTCCAAAATCTGAAACTTTTTGAGTGCAGACTCTCAATGCTAGAGCATTTCAGATTTCAAATTTTTGGATTAGGGATGCTCAAGCAGTAAGTATAATGCAAATATTCTAAAATCCAAAACACTTCTGGTAAAGAACACTTAAACCTGTATTACAAACTTCTTTTTGTGACAGTTATTTTATGAATCGTATCTAAAGATACTGTAATCAACACTGATTATTTCCACACATTAGCAAGTGTTTTGAGTGTAGTCCAGATAATCACAAACCTCACATGTTCTCATAATGCACTTCCTACTTATATATATGCTGATTAATTTAGATGAACTACAGTAGCTTAATAATGAAATTCAGTGTAGGAATTTAGCAGTTAATACCCACACTGTTTATTTGGCTTATGTTCTAGAATAAAAGAACAAACAAACACACACCAAAAAACCCCAGTCCTTATAGCTGTTAGGAAACTCATTTTTTTAAGAATAGTAATAATACTATACCATATTCTGCCATGCTGTAGAAGAAAACAGAACATGGTTTTTATGTGAATACAGAAGTTATAAAACCTATGTTATATCAGAATTAATGCTGAATCTTTTATTTCAATAAGAAGAATCCTTAAAATTCTAAGGGAATTAAAAAAATTAATTTACTATACCCAATTAGGATGAGAATATAAAGATTTGTATTTCTAAATGCAGTTTTTATGATTTTCTTAAAGAATGTACCTGAACTTCCAGACACTACAGAACATTCTAGAACTGACCTGTCCCGTGATTTAGCAGCATTGCATGAAATTTGTGTGGCCCATTCAGATGAACTCCGAACACTCAGTAATGAGCGTGGTGTGCAGCAGGTAGGTTTTTACTAGCCTTTGTTAACAATGATGTTTCAAGCATAAGACCCTTTGAAGGTAATCACTAGCTAAATTCTGGTTAAAATTTCTATCCTGTCTGATCAAATCATAATCCAAAAAGATCTCAGCAGGCAGGAATAATGGGCCCAGACCAAGATGATGTACTTCTGTAAAATGTTCAGTCTTGCTCGTGAATCTCAAATGTTAACTCTACTGGAAAACAGTGGTATTCATACACTTAAGTGGCATATGTGAAAATGGCAAGTGAGCTAATAAGTCAATATTGATGTATCTTTTTTCTTTCAGTTTCTGTCTTCATACACACACAGCAGGCATGGCCAAAGTGATTCTGAAATTGATGAGATTTGGGTGTTTGATAAAAATATATATTCCAAGCTCCATATCTAGAAATTCTGGAGTGTGGCTATGGAAACTGCATTTCTAACAAGCTCTTATAGGGATTCAGATGCAAGTGGATCATGGCCCACACCTGAACAAACAGTAGTCTACATTAGTAGACTTCTATCTGCTATACAGACCAACAGGATACAGATTGGGATATAGTCAAAGAGGGACTAACTAGAATTTGAAGGGACTTAAAACCAGGTCAGTTTTTTATAAATCAACGTACATGCTTCATAGGTCTGAATAATTTCTTCCATAGTTTCAGAATATAGTGAATACTATCTGTACACTGGCTAACTATTGGCAGGGATTTTGTAGAAGAGACTAAAACACTGAGTTTGGTGATTATGAGTTCCCTTCAACCCCAGATTCTAGAATCCTTGAATTTTGAAGAGTCTCATTCATTAGGGCAACAATCACTTTAAAACTTACATGACCTGTCATAGGTACTAAACTAAAAATAAGACCTTTTAATTTTAGGATCAGTGTAGTCATTTCTTCCATAATTCTTTAAAAAAACATTCACCCTTTTGTGATAGTCACTCGTCATTTATAATGACAAATCTGTCTTATAAGATGATTTATCTTAGGAGCATGCCAAGCACTTAATTAAAGCCAGGTTCCCATCCTGAAATCTCTGACCAAGCTTATTTTGATACCATTTTTCCTTCTGCCTAGCATGTACTGAAAAAGCTGCTGGCTATAACAGAACTGCTTCAACAAAAACAAAACCAGTATACAAAAACCAATGATGTGAGGTAGCAGCCTTCACCCCAGCGTTCTGCACGGATTCGGCATGCCCCACATGGTAAATTCACGTCAGTATAATGTCTCCTTTGCTCTTGCCAAAAAATAGCACACCTTTCCACATTCCAGTGATGTGTGAGCTATGCAAACAAAATCCAAAATTCTGCTGGTGAATAATTGTGCCAGCAACTTTGTAAGCTATCTGTGCAGGATATTTGCACTTTTTCCACATGGAATCAGTCTTTACCAACTTCTGAGCCTTGGTGTACAGATCACCTTTCATGAAACAAAATGCTATGACTGTATCTTAAACTTTGAAAATATATTTTCAATACACCCAATTGCCAAAGTTTTGCTGTCTCTTGGAAAAAGAACTATGAAATCAACTGACAAGAAAAGCATTCTCTATTGACAATTGAGTACAACTGGACTGCAGACTGTTTTTACTGTAACTTCTTCCTGATTAGGAATATGACCATTTGACTGTTCAATGACTTTATTTGTATTTACAGTTTCCAGAGTTTGCATTATAATAGGAACAATCTTTGCTGTATAATACTTTTTTTTAAGAAAATACTGTGCTATTTCTCTTGCTGGAACTGTTGAAAGAAAATATCTAGAATGGATCTATTGCTCATCAGCTTTATTTTTTAAACATACCACTTATTTTGTTGGAGAGCTCATAATGCTTTTGTTAAATGTTTACAACAGTATCTAGTTTGAATTCAATAAATATTATTGGTCATTGTACTGATCAGTGCATGTTACCCATTCAGCCATTTTTATAGGTTGCCAATTTCTTTTATGTTAAAAAAAAAAGAAAACTAGAATGCTTTTGTTGAAAGTACTTGTTCATTAATTCCAAGTTGATTTTTTTTGTGTGTGTGCTACCCTTTTGATTTATGTGGACATCAGCCACTTTTGCATCTTTGAACTGACTACTTGTTGTATCTGCTGGATATTAGTTTGACTGTATAGTTTTATTTGCTTCTGTATGTGTATTTTTGTGAAGATTCACAAAGGTTAAGTTAAAATAAAACCAAGGGATATCTTGCATAATTGATTACTTCTGTCTAAATATGGATAAGCATTTCATTTCATTATTTTCTTCCTCCTTTAGGGGCTGTTCAAACTTTAGTATCAGAGCAAGACCCAGGGAAAAGAGGAAACTTCAGATTAGCATTGTTGCTAATGTCCTCTTTTGAAAAGGACTTCTCTTATTCATTTAATATATATTTGTTAATTAACAATTCCTTCCACTATAATTGTGCAGGGTAGGTAAGACATACAAAAAGAATGTGGCAAAATATCATTAGTAATCAAAGTAGGTAAAAAAACACTAGTTCTCACAGTAAAGAAGAATTTTCTAAAGGCCCAGATTCCAACAGCAATACTTTATCTACTCCTCTGATGGCATAAAACTAATCAAGGGTTTAAAAGATGTCTGCTTAGCATAGTTTTAACCTTATAAAAAGGCCATTATTTTTATGGAGGAAGGTAACTTTATGTAGCTTCAATCACAGTTCCACACTGATACCAAAAACTCAACACATCCTGGGCTCCTTTTCCTTGATATCAACTCAATTCATTCCATTCTCATCTCTGTATCATATCATTTTCCTTCTTTTTCCATCCCTCCTGCTCTTCAACTTAAACTACACCACAGTAGTATCCCAGGTGGTCTCCTTCCCTGGTTTACAGAATGGGAGATGGTTTTGGAGGGATGTGGACTAGTGATATTTCCTAAGATGCTTTAACAACACAGACACAAAGGTCCAAACTGTAGTGGCTTGGCATTCTGGGTCTCTCCCGTTAATCACACCTCAATTCTTCAGCTATACTAACCTATCTACCATTCCTTAGTCTGAAATGCTTCCTTTTCTGCCTTTTGTTTAAAAACATAAACCTAAAAAACTTATCATGCTTTTGATATTTTAATAGCATGTTTGTCTCTTAAGTTGGAATGGGAAACTTGTCACTTACCTTTGTAGGCCCTGCAGTAACTAGCCTGTCAATGTTGAAGTAAAATCTCTCAGACATTAATCTTTTTAATGGGGCTGGGTGGGAACATTTTCAGACATAAGTCTTGTTCTGATGCCCAAGTTTGGTGATCTGAAAGGGAAATAGGAGATAAACTGTGAACATTGTACAATTCTGTCTAAAGCCTAGCAGCAATACTATTTAACCAGGACTACACTAGAGGATTATAAACTTTGGCTTCTTCCACTCCTCTTTTGTAAAAATCTCACTTCATGAATTTTATTCCTCTCATTCAAGAATGAGAAGGAAACAAAAAACCCTAGACACTCAAGCTTAAAATGTAAAGAATTACAAGAGAGATGAATATGCATTTAGTAAGTATTGCCCTCAAATACCAAGATGTAATTTAAATGGTACCTACCTGCACCGAAAGCGCAGCCTGAGATGTACTGAGACTGAGGAAGGTGTCTGTATTTTTGTAGTTAGACTCAGGGCAGTTGAGTTTCTCAGTATTCCTTCAAGCCCATCTGAAAAACCTTGGCTTGATATACAGACATCCACAATTTGGTTCCAACTATTAATAGCTAACATTTACTGAACACTTAGCAGATGCAGGTACTATTCTAATTAATCCTATGAGTGAGCAAGCATTGTTATTTACTCCAATTTCAATTTGAGAAACTGGCATGCAAAGGTTTAGTAACTACCTTCAAGGTCACACAGTGAAGTTGAGGCAGCCATGTTTACACTTAAGTAATTGGGTGTCATACCCTCTGCTTTTGTATGTTTATATCAGCTCATTTCCATTTGAATTAAATTTCTTGAACACACTTAAGATCTATTTATATAGACTCAATTACAGGTGACCTAATAGGAAAATTATAAAACTGAATATATGGCCAGGTGTAGTGGCCTGCACCATATATAGGCCCAGCTACTCAGGATATTGAGGCAGGAGGATTGCTTGAGTCTAGGAGTTTGAGATCATCCTGCATGACATAGCAAAACTCCATCTCAAAAACAAAAGCAGAATATTGTAATTTGCTGATACTTACCTATAGCAACTTTAAAATTTTTATCTAAATAACCACTCAAAGCCACATTTTTTAAAAAAAATCCACTTGGAAATGTTTCGAGTAAATAATTGAGAAAAACAATTCGTGGCCCAAAATGACTAGCTTTCAGTGCCACAAAAGTTGAAGTACCTTCTGCGGTTCAGTAGTAATGCACAGATAGGTTAAGTATATCAGGATGGCATGTGAAAAAGCCATTTATAAAGGTTTCTAGAGGGCAAAACACATTCCTTAGAAGTTTTGGTTTTTGTGGTGCCTATTTTCAAAAAGCGTAGGTTTTGCCTATTATATTTTAAACAATATAGGAAAATAAATTACAGCTTTAACTTGGCTACCATACAAAGACTAATTTGATAGGAGTCATGGTGGGGCAAGAATATCCAAACTGGCTCTTTTGAAGATGTTTTATTTTATATAAAGCTACTATGAAAGGAAAAAATATTTAAATAATACATAGAAAAATTTAACATATTTTGATGTCTTCCCATTATACTTTTTAAATAAAGTAAATGCCCAATATGCTTCCTACTTCTCTTGATTAGTTAGCATTGACAAATCAACTTCAAATTGTTAGAGAGAATCTACCAGGTCATCATCTGTCCATTCTTCCTAAGAAGGAAAAAGAAAAAGTGGTAAGGATTAACATCTTGAAGTATATGTAAGCAGTATTATTTACCTCCTTGCCTCCCTTCAGCAAAATTATCTCCTTTTACCTACGTGTATTACGGAAGATAAATAAACCAGGAAAGTGTAGTAGTTCACAGTAATACTGGCAGTGTCTTACCAGACTACTCCAATGAGGCATAAAGGTAACAGGTATGACTTTCTGCCTTTGTCTCTGACTTGCCAGGTATAATTTTAAAAAGAGGGTCAAGGTAAAAATCCTTGGAGAACCATGAAATAAAACAAAAATTGAATATGTATGTGTATCCTTGCCGCCTTCTATGAACATAGGAAAGATTCTTCATCAAATAATTATTATACTGTTTCAGAACAGGTTATGGCAGAAGTCAGAAAAATTCCTTTAATAATGGACAATGTACTGTGCATAAGATGTAAAAAGTGAAGACTTTAAAAACCCACACCTCTATCTATAATGCCTATACTATGGAACAATGAATTTTAACAATATGGCCACACCAAAATGTGTAACAAAAATAATTGATTTAAAATTCACCTTTGGAGTAAACATACCTCCTCATGTTTGGACTTCTTTGAGACATAATCATCATCTTCATAGCCTTTCCTCTTCTTCCTAGAATTAAGCAACCATCAGTAAGCAATCCAGTACTGGCAACAGAAACTATAAAATATCTAGGAATAAACTAGCAAGGCCATATGAAATATTATATATGTACTGAAAAACAAGGCCTAACTAAATAGAGATGCAGAGTTATGGCTAGAAGACAATACTTTTCAAATCAATCTTTAAATTTGATTCAATTCTATTAAAATCCCAATAAAATTTTTTTTCATGGAACCCATCAAATCTGACACTGACCTGGAAAAGACTGTGGGAAAATTAGCAAAGAAAATCTGAAAAATGATGATGTTAGGGGACCTTGTCTCAGTTTTCATCAAAACACACTATAGTGTGACGTTAACATTTAAAGAACTCAGTGATCAGAATACTATGCAAAAAATTGACTATGTATGCTTAGGAATTTAGTTTGTGATAAAATATTTCAAATAACTAGGAAAAACACGAAATATTCAAAAATAACTTAAAAAATCATACCATTCACAAATAACTCTAAGTGGTTTTAACAGCTAAACAAAAGGGAAAATATTAATTTAAGGTTAAAAAAAAGGCATTCAGATGTAAAAGCGTAAAGCAAAAGAAATTTTATACATATTAAAAAGTGAAATAGATTAGCTGTATCCTATAAGAAGATGAATACAATTGGCTCTCCCGATATAACCGTGGGTTCTACATCCATGGATTCAATCAACTGTGGATTGAACATCTTTGAGAAAAAAAGTTTTGTCTGCAATGACCATATATACAGACTTTTCTTGTCATTCCCTAAACAATACAGTATAATAACTATTTACATATCATTTACATTGTATTAGGTCTAGAGATGATATAAAGTATATGGGAGGATGTGTATAAGTTATGTGTAAATACTATGCATTTTATATTACGGACTTAAGCATCTGTGGATTCTGGTATCAGCAGGAGGCCCTGGAACAAATTCCCTATGGGATACGTCATCCACAAGGGATGACTATATATAGAATATATAAAGCACTACAAATCACAAAATGAACACCAGAAAATTAGCTAAGGATTACAAATAAGCTATACAGAAGAAATACAAATGACTGTTAAACATGGAAACACTAATGTCTCATAATTATCAAGAAAATGCAAATTAAAATACTAATATAAAACTATTTTTCACCCAGACTAGCACAAGTTAAAACATTAATAAATATTGTTAACAATATGTACAAAAACATTAATGCAAGGAAAAAACAACTTATTTCACATGTGCATGGACAGAGAAAAGGCTGACAAAGGTACTTCTAAGGGCGTGACTGAGATTTGGGTTTTGGTCAAAGGGAACTTTGGTTTTACCGGTATTAACTTAACGACAATGCAATTTTTATGTAATGAAAAATAAAGGTAAAATAATTTTAAAGATCAAGGAAAACAAATATTTTGTTCTTAAGTAGTGCTACTCATGGTATGGACCATGGACCAGTGGTGGTCCATGAACTATTTCCAGTCTGCAGTGAGATAAGTATAGGAATTGTGTGTTTAGAACGTTTTTTATTTTGACCATTTTATGACTGTGGGATCAAATAAAATTTGAGCTTACATTTTTGTATGTCTTTTTCATTTCCTTTTCCAGTAACTCATTTTTTATTGTATTTTACAAAAGTGTATGTCTTTAATGAATTTTTTAAGAAAATCCTTCATAGTTTGAGAAACACCCCTCAAGTACTCAAAGACTTGTAGAATTTACTTGACACAGAACAAAGCAGATGTCAACTTGGACTAAAACAAACTCTGGCAATTAGGAATTCTGGATTATGGGCCAGTTACCTAGCTAAAAGGGCAATATTAATAAGTTCAATGGTCTAATCTAGGGATTGATAGTTTTTCTTTAAAGAGCCAGACAGTAAATATGCAGGCCATATAACCCTGTTTCTGTCACAACTACCCAGAGCTTTTCAGCTACAGCATGAAAGTAGCCATAGAAAATATGTAAACTAATGGGTCTGCTATGTCCCAATAGAACTGTATTACTGAAACCAGGTAGTGGGCTGGATGTGGCTGGTGGGCCACAGTTTGCCAATCCTCGTTCTATTTCCATTTCAAAGTCAATGTGAAAAGAACATAATTATTGCTGCAATAATTTTACTCATTAAAATAAACATTTCTCTGTAACCACTCTGAAACACTCCTATTAGTTACCACTGAAATCTAGGAGTGAAATCTGCAACTTTCATGTTCTGTGCTAAGCCATGCTTTGCAGTTATAGCTATTAACTATAATAAAATAGTCTCATATTTTGCACATGTCATAAGTTCCTGGATATTCTGCTACAACTTTATAGTTAAGAAATTTCAGTTATGTGTACCTGATCTGAAGGCCTTGGAATGCTGTTCTGGCTTCTCACACATATCCAGCAGCATATAGTCACCAATTATAGAAATCAAAATATCTCGAATGCATCTTAACTGTAAGATCCCACAGCTAACTCCTATTAAATTTTAACAAGCTGCAACTTTAAAATCAGAATGCATTCCACGGAAAATAGCAGTTCCAACATTCCTATGACCTGCTCAAATTCCCAAGTGCTTAAACTCCTAAAAAAGTAGATCCTTCAATTTGCAAAGCATAAAGTGCAAATTTTATGGTGATTTCCACATTCAACCTACAAATCATTTAAGAGACATTAAGGGTGTTCTTATGGCTGCAAGAAGAGATCCAACAGTACATGTTCCTATTGGTTTTGTCTTCAATACAAAGTTTGTCAATGAAAGAAAATATGCCAAGTTTCCCTACTCTTAAGTCTGGAACAGTATACTTGTTCTTCAGTCTAGATACCACACCTGCAAATAAACCAAAAATTAAAAGGACAGGAAAAGGGTCAGTGGTTCCCTAGGAAGACCCTGATCCCTGAGATCCCATGAGGAGTAACAGGACAGGGCCTACAAGCCAAAGAACACGTTAGTTACTGCAGGATCAGAACTGTATGATGAAAGCCAAACTGTCTTTTAAGTTCAATCCCACCAGAAATGTCCACTCAATAAAAAGAAAATCCGATTCAATGGGTCAGTCAGTTTCCCCCAGATGTGCATTTACCAATGCAACTATTTATTTTAAGCACCAGCAAGACTGAATTACAGTTATACCTATTCTTGAATAACACTGTCACGTTGACTTACGTAATTACATTAAGTGCAAGCTCAACAGAATGACATCGTTCCAACTTCTGTTTCAGAACAGCGACTTCTTCTGATCTGGGTGGTTCATACTTCTTTACTAAGTTTCTCATACCTATGTGGAGATAAAATGGATTTAAACTGAATAATAAAAAACCTCATTCTTACAGTAATGGAGCTGAATAATTTCTCACTTTGTTATAGGAAACAACACAACAGTCTTGAAGTGACATGATTGTTTGTATCAGGATTTGTCTCATTCTGCATTAAAATCTAAGAAACACCGTACTTTTAGTTCAAGTAATTACAGTCTCCGCTGTTCAGCCTATACTATGTACAAGATAAATATAAGCACACGTATAACCTATTCAGTGTTAATTTACTGTAAATATTACTGTGGTCACTTCTTCCTTAGTTTTGAGGCTTGTTTTTTTATAAAAACTCTAAATGACTTGGTGAATATGCTTTGTTTCTTACCACCAACCACATTCATAACATTTTATCCTACAGATGGTGGGCGAAGAGTGTACTTCTTGTTTACAAAGGAAACATTATCAACATGTTATAAAGGGAGGATGCTTAGTAAAAATGTGTCAATGATCTTTTACTTTAATAAAATGTAGACCCTATACAAAAAGTAAAGTACTGTTATCAGTAACTTTCTAATTACAAAAACATCCTCTAGCTGATCTTGTATGTTGTTCAACTATAATAACCAAAGAATATCAATCTCCAGATTTATTAGGGGAATGATTAGAGATCCAGGGCCTTATGATTAGTCAGCCAAGTGCTCCAAATGGGTAACTATAATACTGACTTATTTTATAATGCAAATAAAGCAGTGTTTTCAATTGAATTAATACATCTGACTCAACATTCTTAGGACAATATCTATGTTCCAAAAAATTATGGATATTTTAACATCATTATAGCTCTGAGTATTTTATAAAGAGCTATTCTTATTTCATATTAAGTACAGCAAAATAAAGGTATTGAGAAGAAATCAGCAATAAAACTGTAAGCCATGAAACCAGTACAGTGGATTATCTTTAAGGCCCTTTTGAAATAAGTAAAGTGGAATATCTTTAAGACCTCTTTTACCTGCTAAGTTCTATGATCCTAATATCTATAGCCAAATCACAATTCGCTTTGGAAGTGAACCCTCTAGTGGTATAACTGACGACCTACAGTTTATGATTCATAAATCACAAATCCATTGTTTGCAAAGAAGGAAGCCCTCCAGATCACTTCAAGCAAGATAATCAAGAAATTACACTTACATAACCTGAAGCATTCTAACTTTTCAAACATAAAACATTTAAGATCATCAATCTTTTATTGTTTACTCAATGTTTAATTAAGTTATAAATCTAATTAATAAGAACAATTAGCCTAAAAGGTTTGGGAACAAACATGATTGACTTTTAACTCTCAAGAGTAGCCTAGTAACCATGAGCACTAAGTGTGCCATGGGTGAGAATAAAGAATGGAGAGGCCTAGCTCTTCGGTTAAGTGGAGATTCTACTCAACCCTTAACACAAAACTCAATGCCAACACTAATGACTTTTTGGGTTGGATAATTCTTTGTTATGAATGGCTGTATATATTAGTTTCCTGAGGCTGCTATTAAAATTATCACAAACTTGGTGGCTTAAAAAAACAAATGTATTCTTACAGCTTATGGAAATGTATTCTTATTCTTATAGCCCATGATTCCAAAATCTCTTTGTTTCACTGGGCAGCAGTCTCTATGGAGGCTCCAGGGAAGAATGCATTACTTTCCTACTCCAGCTTTTGTGTGGCTGCAGTATCCTTTGGCTTACAGCCACATCACTCCAATTTTTAAGGCCAGCATCTTCCAAACACTGCTTTCTCTGACTGTGTCAAAGCTCCCCCTACCTATGTCTTATAAGGACTACTGGGATTACATTTACTCCCTAACCATCATCTCAAGATCCTTAACCTGCAAATCCCCCGCTAATGTTTTTTGGCTTTTTGCCATGTAAGGTAATACTCAGGTTCCAGGGATTACGACATGGATATCTTCTAGGGAACCCTTTTTAAGCCTACCACAGGAGCTGTCCTGTGTACCATGTAGGATGTTTAGCAACACTCTTACCTCAACTTACTAGATGCATCATCCAAGTTGTGACAGACATTGCAAAAACTGCCCCTTGAGGCCCAGAGCATATGTACTATCAGTTAATAAAATGACTAGAAAATGACATGTATTAACTAGATAAAACTGATTTATCTCCAAAATAGAAATTCCAAATTTAACATTCTGCCTTAAGTTAGTCCCTTTAGATCTTTTCCAGTGCCTGTCATATATTTTATACTTTAGAAAGATCTTGTTTTCAATCTCTAAACCCTTTCTGAATCTGATTATATTCTCATTCTTCTCATAAATTCTATATATGTGAAGACTACTACTTCCTTCCATGTACCCTCTATGTGTTTTCCACCAACGTATCTTTTTTTTTCTAAAATTTTTTTTTTCAGAGACAGGGTGTCTTGCTCTGCCACCCAGGCTGGAGTGCATTGGCATGATCACAACTCACTGCAATGTCAAACTGCCATGCTAAAGTGATCCTCCTGCCTCAGCCTCCCATTTTCTTTATTTTTTACTTTGGATCATTTACCCCAAAACCAATGTTATCTTTTAAACTTCCATAATACAGTAATTCAATGAAAATAAATATAACAAAAATCTACCTTGTATCTCAAGTTAAATACCAAGATAATATTTATAAAGTATTTCTGTTTTACTTACTTTTCATTGTATCTAGTAACTGTGACAAGCAAGTTCTGTTCTCTCTTAGCATCAGACTCTCTGATAAATAACTGGTAAAGAAAGGAAAAAAGTTTTAATCTATTGAAAACATACAGCATATTGAGAAATGTGACATCAACAGCAATTTTAAAATTAATTTATTTTAGAAGTATTATTACATAATAATCCTTTGAAATCCATGAGTACAATCTGCTACTCCTATAGTCTTAAAGATTTACTACTACTTGTATTAGATTAAAAGATGTTTATCATTCAGAGTTAACTTAAATTTAGTAATATACACTTATAAGCATTCAGAGTGAAAATAGTATGAAAACATCAGTAGAAATAGCCATATATAGAAATAGCCAATGTAACCTTTCATATAGAAACCCTATGAGTCTACCCTCATTTTAAAAATGAGGAATCTGAGCTACATGACCTGTAACTTGCCCAAAGTCATAAAGCTAGGAAATAGAAGAGCTGGGATTTAGCACTACTAATGATACTTTCTCCCCTTAATATCAAGGTCATTTTACCTATAGTTGCATTTCTAGGGAGTAACAGGTACTCAAACCAATGGGAATATCATCCTATGCTTTATAAATCTATTGCATACTATTTGCATCAAGTCCAAATCAAGGGTGTTAATACTTTTCCATCAATGTGACTGATACAAAACCCAATTATCTGTTTTTTTCAGAGCCACTACCAGCATGAAAAAATTGAAAATATAGTTTTTAGATTGAAGTTTTTAGTTACTCTGAGGTTTTATGTACCTGAACTTGATTTATAATTGATAAAAGCCCTAGCCAGCAGATACTCAAAGTGTAAGTAGTTTTTCAAACATAAATGCAAAAAATGTTAATTTTTCTCCTGGGTGTAATGTTATAAAAATAGAAAGCAATACATTAAGAACTTTTGTTGCTGTCTTTTAAACTATCCATATTAATTTAAATTTTATTACAAAGCTCTGATAACTGTTTGCTATTACATCATTGTCATCTATTGTGGGAATTATTTTGGATATGGAGATCAATAACTCCCTTTGACAACCCAATGTATTTCTGGTTATAAATAATTCAAAATAACTAAATTAGTTTCTTCCTTTCCTCTTTCTCCCTAAAACTCCATTCACTTTTGCCATCTTCCTTTGTTTCTATTTAGTCTTCCTTTCCTTCTGATTACTTAAGCCTAAGAGGGATTCACTTCATTCTAAGATTTAGCTAACCAGACTGTACTTCTGTGAAAGCTTAAGTTAGCAACTGTTAATCTCAACTGTGAATTAGAATTTTAATATTTTTGACATGTTCAAGTCCACAGACAAGAATAAAGAGTCAAATAGATGAAAAATAAAGTTCTAAATCCACAAGAAAGAAAACCCAGAAATAACAAAACATCCTGTGAGTAATAATCTGAGGCATCATCCAGAATATGACAACAGCACAAGGGTTTCCCCTTTGAAATGAGCAATAACTGTAAACCCAAAAGTTTGCCTGTAAATCAGATGTAAGTTAAAAATGATTGGAAAGCATTTCCTTTAAGGGCAAAAAAAAAAAATTCCAAATGTCTACAGACCCTGGGGATGCAACAGAAGCCTATTTAATTTGCGGTGAGCCAAAGGTACCACAATTTCAATTTTGCCTGTCTGGAATTATAACTAAACTTTGGCATTATAACTAACTAAACTTGTGAAATAAACTCACATCTGCACATTGGAATGCTTCCTCCCGCTATCTACATAACTAAAATCTCACTACTAGAGAATTTGCATGTATACTACATAAGAGAAGATGCTTCAACAGATTAAACTTTTGGTTATTTGAATTGTGGGAAAAAAGCCTTTTTTCCCTTATAGAATGGAAGTCCACATCTCAACTCCATAAACATCAATTATTTGCAAAGCTGTCTTTCCTAAGGCTGGGATTTATATCTTGTTTATTCTTATATTCCTAAAGTATAGTACAGTGCATAGTAGTACATAGAAGGCACTTTTAAATAAATGGAAGTATAAGTCACTTTGGGATTAAATGTATATATTTATATACAAATTGTAAGCTGTGTTTGTAGAGAAACATATCTTAAATAAAATATAAACCTATAATCCCTTATCTTGGATGCAGGTGTGTTTTGAAATTCACTATTGTTTGCCTCTTAAGAAAAGCAACCTGGCTTATGTATTATGAAATGTGAAATATCCCAGTGATGTCTGAGGCAGCATCCTGTAATCAGGAATATTAAGATTTCTGCAAAAAAAACCGTAAATATTCCTATTAAGTGAAATAAAAACTAAATCACATCTATTCCTATTTTCTGCCACCTTATCAATGGATTCTGAAATTATGGACAAGAGATTATAAACATGTAAAACAGTTTAACTTTAGAAAGTTTTATCATCTTTCTTCCTCAGCTATTTCTAGGAATGAAATCAAGCTGAACTTCAAAAGTCATAAATTCACAAATTCAATGTAGAAACTAAAAAAAGTCTAATTTGCCGCTAGGCTGTGCTTCAGTTATAAATGCATATGGCAACAATTATGGGAACAATAATTTAATCAATCAGTACACAAGATATTGTTTTAAGAATCAAGTGAATTTAATTCACGTAAAGTGTTTATCACAGAGCCTGGTTCTCAATGTGCATTTATATATTAGTTATTACTATTTATGATTTAATTATAATTCACTTGAACATCCCCTGAAGGTATGGCCCCAGGCCCTGGACCAGTACCAGTCCCTGGCCTGTGGCCTGTTAGGAACCGGTCTGCACAGCAGGAGGCGAGAAACTGGTGAGCCTACGAAGCTTCATCTGTATTTACAGCAGCTCCCCATTGCTCGACATTCCTCCCACCCCCAGCACCAGTCTATGGAAAAATTAATTGTCTTCCATGAAACTTGGTCTCTGGTGCCAAAAAGGTTGGGGACTGCTGCCCTAAAGTATTATTTATTCAACAAATCTTTACTCAATTCCATGTATCACACATGCCCTATAGGAGGAGAAAAATGGTAAAACAGATATTTGCTGCACAAAAGTTGCTTACCAGTTCATAAAACTTCTAAGTTTGCTGTATACTATAGCTGTACCAGTCTTTCAAATATCGCCTATTTTACTTCTACTTTGGTCATAAATGTATCCTCTTAGCTCAACAATATTTTACTTAATTTTTAAAGATTTCCTTTAAAGGTGATTTCATCTTTCATCAACCCTCCCAGCCACAAGGGATATTAAAGAACTATAGTCACAAATAAACCTTACTCAAGAATTCAGACTCTATGAATAAATAAACCAAGTTACTGAATCTGACCTAAGTTAAAACACTAATTCATACCTTTCCATAGTAATTCCAGCCCTGGAGGCACTTGATAAAATGGCAGTCAGGGCAATTTGGGAAGGTGTGTATAAAAGGTAAGCATCCGTCAAGGCAATTCTATTAAGAAAATCATCAGCTGTTTTCCTTAAAACCTCTGGATTCTCCAACATGGGATAGCGAGTCTGGAAAGAAAGTTGCAAACGTTACCATTTCTAAGGGTTTATTGGAGTAACAACAGTTCAAAAATATATAACCCATACTTAAAAAAAAATATGTTTTAAGATAACATATCTCAAGTTCCCAAGCACAGTACTTAAAACCACTCTCAATTTATGATAATCCTTTCTCTGGGTCCTTCACACCTGAGGACCAACAAAAGGAAGTTAAGCAAGGGAGGGGAGGCTGTTAGACATTCCACTGGATCTAACGTAGACCCAAGAATTACATAACCCCAGGTAAATGCTTCTGAGGCAATCCAAGTGATTCAGATATAAGGCCACATTTAGGAACACATCTTCTTTATGTATGAAATTCTTTCTACTTAAAGTTTACTTTTGGGAAGAAGTAAATGAAAATGCATCTTTGTTTCCAACCTACTAGACTTCCCTATGTACCTACAGAATTATTTTTAGAATATTCCCAAGAAATATGGAGAACCTCATACTTCCTGACAATTCTCCATATCCTTTAAGACTGCGGTCCTCACCAACCCCTGGGACTGCAGACTAGTACCAGTCCGTGGCCTGTTAGAACTAGGCCACAGAGCTTCCCTCGCTAATCCCACTGTGGAAAAATTGTCTTCCATGAAACTGATCCTTGGTGCCAAAGAGGTTGGGGACCGCTGCTTTAAGATGAACCCCTAAATCCTGAACACTCTGATTGATTACAGATATCCACATTTCAACACCTGAACAAGAAATCTTTTTCTATACTCTGAAACAAAATATCCTGAGTCAAAGGTGTGGTCACACCCAGGCCTTGTCATCATTCTAAAATGACTGACCTCTGATATGACACATTCAGACACTCCACTACTCTATAATCACAAATACCCCTTTTCCCCAATACGGGTGCTCAATTAATTCACAGCTGTTTTCCCTCCTCAGAACCTTTGGTCATTTTTCTCTACTTGCTCCTACTCACCAGTGTTCTTTGGTCCTCATTTCCCTGCCCCAATATGTTACCAACACATTTCTGGCAAAACTCCAACAATGGTTAAATCCAACCAACCTTTTGCTTGGCAACTATATCTGGGTATTGCCAGAGAAAACCACGCAACCAAGAGTTACTACAATGTTACTATAAATTGATGTTCACTGACCTCAGCAAGGCTCTTAAACATTGTCTAGCAATGATAATGTTTCCACAGAAAATGTATTCTCCCATTTTTTAGTGACTATGGTAAACATTTTCTACCTATCTTCCTCAAAGAGCTAAAAATAGAAATACCATTGGATCCAGCAATAGCATTATTAGGCATCTACCCAAAAGAGCAAAAGATATTCTATAATAAAGACATCTACACCCAAATGTTTATGGCAGCACAATTCACTACTGCAAGGATGTGGAAACAACCCAAGTGCTCGTCAATTCATGAGTGGATTATTAAAATTTGGTATATGTATACAATGGAATATTACTCAATTATAAGAAACAGTGATCTAGCATCTCTTATATTTTCCTTGATTGAGCTTGAGCCCTTTATCCGAAGTGAAGTAACACAAGATCAGAAGTATAGGCTCCACCCACTTGTACTCACCATCAAATTGGTACAGACTGATTAACACTGTGGTGTTCACATGGTAGTAATATTCTCCAGGGATCAGGAAGTTGGGGGTGGTAAACTCACAACTAAAGGACATGGTGGTGAGCATTGTAGAGGGGAAGGAAGGGCATGCCTCTAACCCTCGCTAGAGAGAGGCAAAGATATAAAATGTAACCAAAATGTTTGTACCCTCATAATACCCTGAAATAAAATAAATCAATAAACCACAAAAAACCTCCAACATTTTCTACCTATCTCAATGTCTTTGATAATTCTCAGAAACGCCATCACTCTCAGAAAATGATCTCTGTTCTTAACAAAGAAAGGTGCTGTTTCCTGCCACCACCAAATCCCCAGGCATAACAGTATCTTAGCCTATTCTTTTCTCTTTCCCTCTGTTAAAAGAAAGAGATATTATTCCCTGTAAGGCCAGTTTGCTTCCAATCCCATGCCAACCCCTTCTACCTTACTCCAAAGAGAATATTTTCCACTTTCCCTTTATTCTTTCTCTACTATCTAGAGATAATCTTTTTCTAGCTTCCTGCATTGGCATTTAAATATACATCAGTGTCTTTCATTAAACAAAGCACAACAACAAAGAACTCTCTTCTGCCAGAAACCTGGGGGTTCTTCCTCTGTCCTCACTCTCTATATGCATTCAAAAACCCTGGTTCTATATAATCTACCTACTATAGGTCAAGCATCCCGAATGCAAAACTCCAAAATCTGAAACTTTCTGAGCATTTAAAAGAAATTCTCATTGGAGCATAATGGATGTTGCTGAGATACTCAACTGGTAAGTACAATGGAAACATTTAAAAATCCATCATTAGTCATCAGAGAAATGCAAATCAAAACTACAATGAAATATCATCTAATCTCATTTAACTCCAGTTAAAATGGCTTTTATCAAAAAGACAGGCAATAACAAATGCTGGCAAGGATATGGAGAAAGGGGAACCCTTGTACACTGTTGGCAGGAATGTAAATTAGCACGACCACTCTGGAAAACAGTACTGAGGTTCCTCAAAAAAACAAAAATAGAACTATCTTATGAGCCAGCAATACCACTGCTGGGTATATAGCCAAAGGAGGGGAATTGAGTATTTAGAAAAGGTATCTGCACTCCCATTTTTATTGCTACACTATTCACAATAGCCAAGATTTGGAATCAATGTAAGCATTCGGCAGATGAATGGAAAAAGAACATGTGGAACATATACACAATGGAATACTATGTAACCACAAAAAGAATGAAATCCTGCCATTTACAACACATGGATGGAACATTACATTAAGTGAAATAAGCCAAGCACAGAATGGCAAATCTCTTATATTCTCACTCATATATGGGAGCTAAATATTAAAAACAATTGATCTCATGGAGACAGAGACTATAATGAGGGTTACCAGAGGTTAGGAAGGGTAGTTGGGGGAATAAAGTGGGGATGTTTAATGGGTACAGAAATATAGTAAGATAGTTACATAGAATGAACAATATTTGATAGCACAACAAAGTGACTACAATCAATAATAAGTTATGGTATACTTTAAAATAACTCAAAGAATGGAACTGGAATGTTGCTAACACAAAGAAATGATAAATGCCTAATGTGATGGATACCCCAATTACCCTGATTTGATTGATTTACACTGTATGCCTGTATCAAAACATCACATAAACCTTATAAATATATACCACTATTATGTACCCATAATTAAAAATAAATTAAAAAACACAAATATTTCAAAAATAAAAAAAAAAAAATTCGGAAATCTGAAACACTTCTGGTCCCAAGCATTTTGGATAAGGGATATGCTCAACCTGTGTCTCTGAAGCCTAGGAAGCTCTCACTATATGCACTGCCATTATATAAGTCAAGCCAACAACGATCTTTTGCCTAGACTTCTCTAATAGCACCCTGTTACTCCTTACTTCATTCTCCACCTTATGCCTGATACATAGAGATGGGCAATAAATATCTGACATAGACTGATGCATGAGGTTGCCAGTAGGAGTTTTTAAAAGCTGCAAACCTTATTGTGCCACTATCTAAACTTAAAACTTTCACTGGCTTCCCTTTGCTCTATTCAATACCTTTAATATTGTCTCCAGAGTGACTCTGCCTTCCACTCAGGCAGCAGCACTCTGTGGCACCCTTCCCCTGCTCTATCTCTTGGCTCTGTTTAGGTTCTTTAGCATACCATGATTTCTTAAATCAGAGCCTTTGACCAGGTACGTGTCTGACTGTGTGGGATGCTCTTCTCTCACGTAATCCCTATTCTTGCTCTGAATTTCACTTTAAATGACACTCTCTCAGAAATGTTTTTTTACTCCATAACCACGTCGGTACCAGTGTCAACTATAGTCGATAGCCACAGATGAACACGCACAGCCCAGTGTCGACGATAGTCGATAGCCACACACGTCGACTTTAGCTGACATCCATATGACTTTTCTAATTTTTCATTTATCAAATAAAATTGTGAACATTTACAAATAACATAAAAAAATAAATGTATATGTTACCTATTCTGATTTACATTACAAGTAAAGCTGCCTGTAAAGTAAAACAAGCTTTCAATGCTTAAAGCTTTCCTCATCACACAAGAGCAAAGCAGATTCATCGTCAATGCCCAGCACAAACTATGAGTGCCAGCTGTGGGCAAGGTTTTGTGGCCGGTGAGTGCAGTACCGAAGTGGTTAATCTGTTATCTCCTCTAAAGCAATCTTGTATTTCTCCCTCTATAACATTTAGCACACTGGGCATATAACATTTGTCTAAAACTAATAGATTGTAAGGTCCATGGAAGTTGAGATTGTTCTTATTTTTGGTTATATCCTCAAGCACAATGTTTGGAACACAGAAGGTACCCAAATTGAGCTGCCAGTACACTCAGACTATCCAACTTCTCTTTTAGGGTCAAAACAATTTAAGATGCTTTTGTCAATGTTTACTTATATTTTTGATCCCTACACAGTGACACAAGTTCACTAAGCATTAAAAATACAAGTCGCTTAGCAAACTTCTAATTTAAAATTAAGATTTTTTTATGGCTCTTTAAATCAGGCCCAGATCCATGATAATATTCCTCAAAGTTTTAAGAGTTATCTTAAATCTTTAAAAGCATTATTCTAAATTCTCAATGGTGTCCATTATGGTCCTGGGACCAGAATTTGTAAATCACTTAATCAGAAATTCTGGAAGTCCCATCACACCTCTATTAATAACCTTTCCAGGTGATTCTTAGGCATCCAATAGTGAAGTTGGGAAACTATTGCCCTACAGGTCCAGGACAGACTCACGGTTTGCATCCAGGCTATAACAATTAGGATGATTACAAGTTATAAAATTTGGGATTCTTTTCGTTAAAGAACAATAGCAAAGGAGAACATACTGTTAGTTTACTTTGTACCAACAAAGTTACCTTTAAATCAATGAGGAAGCCCTCAAATGGTCTGTAAGGATTGTGGACAATAAGGTGGAAATTAAGTTGCTGTATAAGTAGTAGCTCATATTCCAAAATCTGTTCAAGTGCCTTCTCTTGTCCAAGAGGACTCTCCCGAAGGTTTCCAACAAATTGAGGACTGGATACATTGAATTCATCCACTTTGCAGGCCAAAAACACACAAGTGAGCCTAGAGAAAAAAAATAAGGAGGATGGGATGGAGGCACATACATATATTAATATTTAATAATGTAATATTAATTTTTAATATTTTGAGAAATACCTAAATATTTTCTTTCTATGAGTATATTCTAAAATTGCCTAATAGTCACAAGTGAGTATGCTAGACATTGCAGGAAATTAAAAAAAGACAGTTCCTGTTCAAACTTTTATCTATTAGGAGATATAAGACAAATTATAAAATTAGGTTGAACCATCTAATATCACAATATTCAACCATCATTGACTCAATGGCAATTTCACATACTTCAACCTAAATAAGGAAAAGAAAATTAACTGAGGATAAAGAGCACACTGTATCATGAGATGTAGATGGACGAATGAAAAAATAGTATACACAGATGTACCATGAGTCTGGGAACAAAAGCAGGTTAAAGGAACATTGTGGAAAGCCACCAGTGAACATCTATCTCTTAGGGCATCTGATTAGGGATTATCTCAGGAACAGAACTATGAAATTCACCTAGCTATTTCATGAACTTCAGAGTGAGAGGCTATAAGAGTAAAAAAGCTACTACAGAAATCAAGACTGGAACTAAAAGGGCTTGACCTTGACTGGTAGAAATGGGATTAGAAAAAAAGAGAAAACAAACAAGGACAATATGATTTACAGGTAGCTCTTTGATGAGTCTCACACTAATTTCATCTTTAGTTTTAATGATAACCAGAAAGCTTAGCAGATAGCAGAAACAAAACAGACTTCTGTTCAACTGAAATGAATATGAAGCTATGGGATCTGTAAACTGACTGGATATGGAGGGAGAAGAGTCACCACAAGTGATTCTCAGTCTAAATAACTGGAAAGAACAAAAGTTCCTCTGTTATTAACAGAAATAAATATTAGAGAAGAAGCTAGTTTGAGAAAAACAGAATTGGAATTTGGAGAAGTTGAAGTTCAGATGCCATCAGTATTACAGGAGGTATTGGTAAATAGAGGTCGTAAGTTCTGAATGGCAAGAAAGAATGCAAGTCTAAATTACCCTTAATTAGGAAGTAGTTTTCTCCTTTATCCCACAACCCCAAAATGCTCAAGGAGTATAAAAGTCTTAAATGAAAACAATAAATTAGATAGACTTATACTTACATTATTATCCGGGGGTGATATTCCATTACTGAGTTATTAAGATAAAAACGCTTGAAATACATACAAGCTGTACCCTAAGATTTAAAAAATATGTTATCAGGATCTATTTGAACATATGTAACATGCTGAATTTTGTGAAAAAGAACTTATTTATTCAGAAGTTTCTTTGAAAAGGTTCTCCATAAATGTACCAACATTTGTTAATTCTTTAATCAAAATAATGAATTACTACAGAAATGCCACAGCCAAAAGCCCCTTTCTTCCTGTGGTCACTGGATTTAAAAAAATAAGTGTGTATTTCAGAATTCAAGATCATCAAAAATGTCCTGAATTAGAAAAATTCAAGGAGAAAAATACAAATGTTCACAGATTAACAAATCCATCCTGTAAAAATATTGATAGAATAATGTGGTTGGGGCAATAAGCCTTCTCTCTAAATTCACTCCAGATTTGTGATATAACCATGATCACTGTTGGCAAACTGAACTGTATAAGCAGCACATATTGTTTACTGAATGCATCCCATGTGCCAGACTGTGCCAAGCACAAAACTATCGTTCTTATTTTAATCCTTACAATAGCTTGGTGAAGTATCACTATCTCCATTTTACGAAGAAGGAAAATGAGCATCAATACGGTTAACTTACTTATATCAAGGAAACACATTTAATAAGGAACATGACTGAATTCAACTAATACCTACCTGTACTTTCAACCATTACATCATTTGGCTAGAACCAATAAAATAACCACTTATCTATTTTTAAGATAGAAAAGAGTATTTCCTTTTAAATATTTTAAAAGTTTAGTTTTGTCATTTTATGTGAAACAAAACCAAAATTCTACACTGATCAAAAACATGTTTTATAAAGTTACATTCCATAAATAAATTCATCTAAGGATTCAATTTCTTCATAAGATTCAATTTCTGATAAGATCACTTAAATCTACTGCCTCATTTTACAGTTAACTAATCAAGTGTATCTAAAATTCTTTATGAATCTTTGATCTTTCAGATAGAGGTCTAGTAAACTAAGAAAAAGAAAATACTTATAGACAATATTTTCAATATACTTCAATTCTTTCAACTATAAAAATGAGATAACAATTCTACAGGGTTATTCTCTATTGGGTCATAACTAGTCACTCCGTGTAACTATAAAACAATGTAGACTTTCACTTAAGGTAGACTTTTACTTGATCTTCACAATAAACTTGTAAGATAATAAGGTAAAAACATTTTACACACTCTCCCACCCTAGCTTTTTTCTTTATCTTTCAATTTTTAAAATCTCAGCCACCTGTTTCTTCTCACCATTGCCTACCCCAGCAAAAAACAAACAGGTCCTCAGAGCCATACATCTAAAAAAAACTAAGACAATCGTTTTAAACAAAGATAAATCTCCAGCTTCTACTAATCAAGGTTTAAAAAATCTTGTGACATCAACTTCAGCTGGGGCATATAATTACAACTGACAAATATATTATTTCAAACATGTATTATGTGTCATAGAGTTGAAAAAGCACTCATCTATGTTCTAGTCCCAATTATATTGCTCACTAGTTGAGAACTTGAAGGGAAAAGTGATTTAAATTTTTTCTTTCTCCATTAAATGAGGATGTTACAACATGTCCAGCAGACATCAATTCTTTTGACTGCGAAATGAGACTTGAAATAATTTTTAAGATATGATATAGTAACTTGTTATTTAAGGCCTATATTGAAAAATACAAAAACTGAACAAATATAACTAAGGTGAATTTTTGAGAGTAGAATGGACAGTGACTTAAGTTAAAAATTTATGCGAGGACAGATTTCATAAGCCAGCTAAAGGATGTTATAGTTCATCACTACCATAACTTACCACAACAGACCTTGGCATTGCTGGCTTAAACACAGAACAGAATTCCAATAATCTTTTCTCATAGTATTTGCAGAGAGTCATTTCTTCATGAGGCTCAAGGAAGACTGGATCATTTGGAAGAACCTTTAAATCAAAATTACAACATGAGTTCAGTGAATTAATCAATCAGTAATATATTTTTCTCTGTCCAGAATAAATTTAGTTTATATTTCCAAAGGGAAATATATCATACCTCGTTTTCTCTTTAGAGATTTACTAACCATTATAACAAACTGCTTTAGGAAAATATTAAAGAAAACTGTACCCTCATTTCATAACTTCTCAGCATGTCAGCTGGACATTTGCCTAATTTACACATAAACAATCATGACACAGTGAATGCACATGCTCATAAGTTTGATGTCATTTATAAATTTAAAAGAAGAGAGGCATTTCTGATGGTTGGAAAGCTTCCAACATCCCTTTCTGGGTCAATCGTTATGTCACAAAAGTTGAGGTAAAAAATAGCAAATGTCTCAATAAATTTCTGCTATTTTAAGATATGCAATTTTGTTTTAATGCAGCCCCAGGAAACTAATACAGGTATAAAATCTGTGATATGAAATAAATGTGAATTAAGAGTAAAGTAACTCAGTAGCAACAATTTGGAGACACGAACACTTGCTTAAGTGAAACCAGTGGGAGAATGGGTGGTGGACCTCGTAAGGAAGTTTGAGCCAGGATGGGAACTGTAACAGAAAGGGTTTGGCTAGACGGCCATAGTGCAAACCATCTTCAGTCAACTGGTTTGTGCCAACAATCTCCTCTCCCGCCTTCATCCAACCCATTCACCAACATATTGCCAAACGGCTCTTTCTAGGACAGAAATCTGCTAATTTACCATTTTAAATCTTCGGAAGGTTCCCTATCCTTTCAGTATAAATTTCTACCTCCTTCCTTCTGCTTACAAGTTCCCTTCCTATCCCCTCGAGCCATTCCTGCACAGGTACTCCGGCCACACACGACCACGAGCATTCCACGTACTAGCAGTAACTTGTCACCTCCCACTTTGCACGTGTGGCTCTGTCTGCCTGGAACGCTCTTTTCCCAGCTTCTCAGCATCAGCTACTGGGAAAAGGCTTCCCCGACACCAACGCTTGAGAAGTGAATGGCTCTTGCCCGGAACTACCTTGGCATCCTACAAACTCTCCCCTTCACCTTGAAGACCCGTTACAGCTGTCTCCCATTCTACTACGGGGATGGCGCAGTTTGTCTCTGTACCCAGAGAACCTGGCAAAGGGATCCCCTATTTTAATGGATAAACGCACTGTGCGCCGCGGAAGCAGAGGCGGGAGGGAGTGAAATTGTGCTGGAAGCCAGAAGAGCTCCCGCAGCCGCTCAGAATTTCCTGACCGCGGCAAGTGGACAGCCTCGTTATCTCACCTTCCCGTTCGCCACCGCTTTGCATTTGAATTTGCGGTTGGCGTCGGCCCGCAGTCGTGCCAGCTGCTCCTCACTAGAGAAAGTCCAGTGCCGCTTCTGGCTACTGTTGTGGTACATCGTGGAGTCCAAGACCAGCCCCCGGAGAGCCTACAGAAAAAGACCCCAAAAGCAACCACACCGTAGCGTGAAGCAGCTAGGCCCCGGACCAGGATCCCGCGGAAGCCTAGGGCGTCCAGCTGGCGCGGGCGCGCTGACGTCACGATCACGTGGGAAGGCCGTCCGCAGTCGCATTTCCGGAACGCACTAGGAGGAGACTATCTCTGGCGTTCCTAGGACTGGCTCCTGACACGCAAGTGGGCGGAGCCAGCGGAGTGCTCTTTCCCTTTCTGTGGGCCTGGGCTAAAGCTCCGTCCTTTCCGGGCAATATTTTAAAGGGGAAGAGCTAGGCAAGGGTGTCCAAAAGGGGCATAAATTGAGAGTGTGGAGCTCGCTGACCTAAATTTACGTGGGGTTATCAGAAGTGGGAAAGGCGCTTGGGAGGGTGTCGGTTTTTAAATGAGGGCCTCACTGAGAAATTGACAATTGTGCAAAGGCTTGAAAGAGTTGAGGGAGTAGTAGGCCCATCAGTCATCTGGAGGGAGAGCAGAGAGAAGTGTTAAAGCAGAAGTATTCCTGGCTCCTTTAAGGAGGGAGTGTTCTTGGAGTACCACCAAAAATCACGGAGATTGGAACATGGTTGGAAATCCAGAAGCCGATGTGTGTTGGTCCTTACTGCTCTGTCCCTTGTGACCTTGTTTGTTGTTTCCCTGTGCTGTTTTCCTTACCCCTCTGTTGACAATTAGTCAAACCTCTTCCTCTATTTCCATCTCTGAAACCAAATATATTGTAGTCTTTGGGTTTTCTTGAGATTCCTGTCTTCATTAATACCTACAGGGAGCCTTACAATAAGCTATCATTAACGCAGAATTTACAATTTTTTAATTATTAGGATTTTCAAAATTTCATTTGAGGTACAAAATTTACGTTGATTATGAAAGCCTTTACTAGTTTGTCCCACTTAGGCATAACATATTCTCCTGTGTATCATACACCCAGTCAGAAAGATGGATTTACGTATAGCAAATAGTTTTTCTAAAAATGAAAACATAAACATCGGATAAAGATGATGAGACCAGAGAGTTTAGGTCTTGAAAAGCCCACAGAGATAAAAAGAAGTGGCAGAATGACTTTAATTCTGCTTTCTATGAGAATGTTTTTAGAGGCTTAAGAAAGGGAGATTTTCTGCATTTTGTTAAGTGCAGTTGAGGGTAGAGTTTGCCACAAGACCTGCTACTAATCGTTAGGGTGTAGTGGCTATGGTGATGGGGACACAAAAGTGACTATATCACAGTCCCTGTCCCAGGGTCCTTAGAGTGTAGTAAAATGATTATGATATATAAACAGTCTCCTCTCGATAACAGTTACCTTGGACAAGGCTGACCAAAACTTTAGTCAAGCTCTTAGAAGTTCTCTGCTTGATTAGGTCCAAATTTGGGCTTTCCTCTCTGTTCTTGTACAGATGCTCATCAGTTTATCATGGAGTTACAACCTGCTGTAAGTTGAAAATATCATAATTTGAAAATGCATTTAATACACTTAGCCTGCCAAATATCCCAGCTTAGCCCACCCTACCTTAAATGTGCTAAGAACACTTACCTTAACCTACAGTTAGGCAATATATGGTTAGGTCACTCCCACTGCCTAACATCAGGAGAGAATATCAAAAGATCAAAATTCAAAGTACAGTTTCTACTGAATGTGTATGCCCTTTGCTCCATCTTAAAGTTGAACCATCATAAGTTGGGGACCATCTGTAGAATCTAGTTTGAGCAAAAATCCTGCCAAGTCAGTTTAATGGAAAACCCCCCTCCTTGGTATCTTAGCACCCACAATTTGTTAGCACCCTGGCTGCCTTTGGCAATAATCCTATCAAATCAGCTTAGCTAGAAATCACTGATCCTTGAGGTTTCTTGTAATTTTCCATCTGTATTCCCCTCCACCCCCAGGCAGCTCCTTGTCCTTCTTAGAGTCAGAGTTGAGTCCAATCTTTCTCCCCACTGTAGAACCCCAATGCCATGGTCCCTATACCTGTTTCCAGGGCCCTCTTTGAATAAAGTCTGTCTTACCATTTTTTAACAAGTATCGTGACAATATTTTTCTTTAACAGGGCCTAAGAGGGACCTCAGTAGTAAAATTTCTGATCTTTGATTGCTGATGCTGGGTGTAAGCAAGACCTTTATGTGATTTGAATCCAGTGAAATACCCTGAGATTAGTTCATTCGACTCCTCTAGCCATGGCTCTGCCTGAAAGGTTAGTGTCTCCTCTGTTAGTTAGGGGTATATGTTCACATAAAGGTAATTCCCATGAGTTTGCATTTTTTTAAATCACTGTTAATCCAAAAAACATAGTTGACCTTTAGTTCTGTTACTACCATGATTTGGAATAATTTTTTACCACTTTATTTTTTATATCAATAAATCAAGAGTGGATATATTTATGATATAAAATACCACATGATCATTTCCAACACAGTTTTATAGCAATTAACTGGGTAAAAATATCTAATTTGTGACACAGATCTAGGGTTTCAGAACTCAGGATCTGGAGTCAGAATTCTAGCTTCACCACTTACTACTGAGCATTCTTGAGAAAGTTACTTCAACCTATTTTACCCTAAGATTCATCTTTTGTACAGTGAAGAAAATAGTTGTAGCTATCTCATAAAGGTGGTTGTGAGAATTAAATTAGTTAATACATGTGAAGATATAGTAGAGTGGCTGGATTCTACAAAATATTTTTTAAATGTTACTTTTTACTTAATTGACACATGGGATAGTCTAATTGGGGGATGTAACATTTATGCAAATTTGTATTGATATTGAGGGCAAGGGCACTGTAGGTGGATAAGATCTACTTGAGTAAAGACAAAGAGGCAAAAAGTGCAAGGTGTGTCTCAAGACTAGGAAGCAGTGTAGCTTGACTGGTTGGAGAATAAGGTGAATTATCTGAGATATGAATTAGTAGGAAAATTAGCAGAGGGCTTTGAATGTCAAGCTGAGTAATTTGTATGTGATGAGCAAAAATTTTTGAATGGGAGAGTAAAATGATCAGAATTGCATTACTTTAATCTGGAAATTATTTGTGAATGTTTTGATATGGAGGACTTTATCATTAAAATAAATTAAAATCAAATAAGGGGATCAATTCTAAAGTGATACCCAAATATCTGCTCTTGGACATAAGATTCATGATTATATCACATGAGTGAATCCTTCACCATGACCCCAGATAGAGAGAGATAGTGTATCATCTAAGATATGCTGTATGAGATATAATACATCTGTGTATAATATATTATTGTGTGAAATTCTGAAGCAGAGCCTAGGAACCTTTGTTTATAAAAATTATAGGTTTGAAAGTTTTTACAAATGTAAAATTTATAGGACATGGCAAAATTCCATAGGTTAGATGGGTGGCGGGATAGAAGAGGAACAGAAACTCTCAAGTAGGGATTTTCAAATACAATTCAACATAACAATCATCTGGGAGCATCTTAAAACACAAGCCAGAGATTCCAATTTAGTAGGTCTGGAATGGAGCCCTAAAAATCTGGACTCATAAGCATTCTCTTGAGTTTTGTGGCTTTCAAACTTTTGTGTTCATCACATCCATTTGGAGAGCTTGTTAAAACACAGATACTGGTTCCATACAAAGCACAGAATTATTTATTCTAGATCTGTGAAAAATGATGTTCATATTTTAATGGGGATTGTATTGAATCTGTAAATCACTTTGGGTAGTATAGACATTTTAAAAATGTTGATTCTGCCAATCTGTAGCATGATATAGTTTTCCATTTGTTTACATCCTCTGTGATTTCCTACCTCAGTGTTTCATAGTTCTGCTTGTAGAGGTTTTTCATCTCTTTGGTTAAATATATTCCTAGGTATTTTATTTTCTTTGCTGATATTTTGAAAGTTATTGAGTCTTTGATTTTACTCTCAGCTTGACTGTTGCTGATGTATAGGAATGCTCCTGATTTGTGTACATTTATTTTATAACCTGAGACTTTGCTGAATTTATTTATCAATTCCAGGAGTCTCTTGGCCGAATCTTTGCAGTTTTCTAGATATAAGATGATATCATCAGCAAAGAACAATAGTTTGGGCCCTGCTGTCCCCATTTGGATACCCTTAATTTCCTTCTCTTGCATGATTGCTCTGGCTAGGACTTCCAGCACTAGGTTGCATAGAAGTGGTGATAGAGGGCAACCATGCCTGGTTCCAGTTCTAAGCGGGAATGCTTTCAGTTTTTCCCCTTATGATGTTGGCTGTGGGTTTGTCATATATAGCTTTTATAATTTTGAGTTATGTTCCATCTATGCCTATTTGTTAAGAGTTCTTATAATAAAAGGGTGCTGAATTTCTGAAATGCTTTTTCTGTGTCTGTTGAGAGGAGAAACCTCAAATAGCTGAAGAAACCTTAAACAAAAAGAACAAATTGGGAGGCATCACTTTACCAGACTTCGAGCTATACTACAAGGCTATGGTAACCAAAAAAGCACGGTACTAGCACAAGAACACAGATATAAAACCAAAAAATCAGAACAGAGAACCCAGATATAAAATCATCCTCATCGTGCCATCTGATCTTTCACAAAGCAGATGGAAACATACACAGTTGGAAAGAATTCCTATTCAATAAATAGTGCTGGGAAAATTGGATGGGCACATGTAGAAGATTGAAATAGGATCTGAACCTCTTACCTTTCACAAAAATCAACTCACAATGGATAACAGACTTAAACCTAAGGCATGAAACTATAGATATCAGCCTAGGCAAAGAATTTATGAAGAAGACCTCAAAAGAAATCACAGCAACAACAAAAATAAATAAATAGGACCTGATTAAATTAAAAATCTTCTGTACAGCCAAAGAAACAATCAATAGTACAACTAGACAACCTACAGAATGAAAGAAAATATTTGCATGCTATACATCCAATAAAGGGCTAATAACCAGATTCTACAAAGGATTCGAGCAAATCAATAAGGAAAAAAATCAAACAACTTCATTAAAAAATCTGCAAAGGATGTGAATGAAAGCTTTTCAAAAGAAGATAGACTAATGGCCAATAAATATATGAAGAAATGCTCAACATCTCTAATCATCGGGGAAATGCAAATCAAAACCACAATGAGTTATCACCTAACTCAAGAGAGAATGGCTTTTATCAAAAAGTCCCTAAAACAACAAATGCTAGC